AATCAAATGAAATATAGGGGAAGTCCAGAGAGGTCACCCCATCCCCCTTCTTTTTGAAAACTTGTAAACGGTCAAGATCCCCATCCCGAAACCATATATAATCTTGTATGGGACAATAAAACAAATCAAATGAAATAAAAGACGAGTCCCCTAGGGTCAACCCCACCACCTCCTGTTTAAGAACTTGTAAATGGTCGAGATTAACACCCCTATACCATATATATTCTTCTATGGGACAATAAAACAAATCAAAAGAAATTAAGGGGAAGTCAATGGGGGTAACCCCCACCCCCCTTCTTTTTGAAAACTTGTAAACGGTCGAGATCCCCACCCCTAAACCATATATATTCTTGTATGGGACAATAAAACAAATCAAATGAAATTTAGGGGAAGTTCTCTGGGGAAACCCCCATCCCCCTTCACTTTGAAACCTTGTAAACGGTCAAGATCCCCACCCCGAAACCATATATATTCTTGAATGGGACAATAAAACAAATCAAATGAAATATTGGTGGAGTCCCCGGGCTCACCCCCACCCCCCTTCTTTTTTGAAAACTTATAAATGGTCAAGATCCCCATCCTGAAACCATATATATTCTTGTATGGGATAATAAAACAAATCAAATGAAATTAAAGGTGAGTCCTTTCGGGTCAACCCTAACCCCTCCTGTTTGAGAACTTGTAAACAGTTGAGATCCCCACCCCTAAACCATATATATTCTTGTATGGGACAAAAAAATAAATCATATGAAATTTAGGGGGAGTCCACTGGGGATCACATCCCCCCTTTTTGAGAACTTGTAAACGGTCGAGATCTCTAACCCTAAACAACCATATATACTCCTGTTCGTCATTTTAAGAAGAATTGAATGACATACAGGGTCAATTCATAGGCGTCACTTATGCGTATCACAAACCAATTTGTACTGGACTTTGGCCAATGTAAGGTGACCATGGGAATGACGAATTATTGGAGCTTTGTTTGGGAGACTTCGTAACAGCATCCTGTTACAATTATTTCTTGTTACTGATAAGTTTTATAGATTTTGAAAAGACATTGTATTAATGATAAATGAGATTTTGGATTTTTTTCTTCTTTTCTTTGGTAAATTGTTTGAAGAATTTTGTGTCATGTTTGTTTGTTATTCTGTAAAAACTAATTTTCTGAATTATATATATTTTTTTTTATGAAGTGAACTCCTTTAAAAACTAAGCTTATATTGTTCATTAATAAACATATATTTAGATTTCTGATTTTGGGCCCAGTTTTCAAGTTGGTCTAAATCGGGGTCCAAAATTAAACTGGATTTGATTTCAACATAAATTGAATAGATATAGGGTTCTTTGAAATGCTTAATTTAAACCTGTATTTCTTTTCATTATTAATAAGATAATACCACATTGAGGTCCAAAGGGTCCTAAATTAAACATTTGTTTAATTTTATCAAAAATTGAATTCTTTGGTTCTTTGATATACTGATTCTAACAATGTTTGAGTGTTAAATCATATCTAATTTTAGAGAACTTAGTCATCACTGGTTGTTGTTATTTTATTATATTATTGATTATAAGTTGAAAAATTGCTTCATATCTTGTTTTAGAAAAAAATTATCCAGTTTGAGATATTTCCCTTTGCACAGAAAATATTATGGATAAAATTAACCTGTGTTTCATTTCAACATAAATTAAATATATATAGGGTTCTTTCAAATGCTGAATCTAAACCTGTATTTAAATATTAAATTTTTGGGCCCAGTTTTCAAGTTGGTCCAAATCAGGGTCCAAAATTAAACTTTGTTTGATTCAACGAAAATTGAATTTATGGGGTTCTTTGGAATGCTGAATCTAACCATGTATTGAGAGATTTTTGATTGTAGGCTTCTTTATCAAATTGGTCCACATGAGGTAAATGTCCAATTTCAAATATTTCAGTTCTTTGACCACATTCACAAACTTATGCTGTGTCAGATATTCAATCACAATCCAAATTCAGAGCTGTTTTAAGCTTAAATGTAGTGTCCATACTTGCTCAACTGTTCAGGGTTCGACCTCTGCAGGAAAATCCGTGTTGCTGTCACTCTGACAGCCTATTGTTCAATTTTGAGCCCAGTTTTTTTAGTTTTTTCAAATCGGGTTCCAAACTTAAACTTTGTTTGATTTAAAATAAATCAATTCTTGTGGTTCTCTTTTATCATAAATTTTGGTATTAATCTTCCCGTTAGTGATATAGGTATCGATATTCCAGGAAAAGGCAGTGTTCATTGTTAGTATAAGCATTTTTAAAGACAGTTCAGCCGGATTATTTTAGTAGTGAACATACTGAAGTCTTCATTATTGAGAGCCATTATATCATCCAAATATCTAAAAGTTTTATTAAATTTTGGTATCAGATGTTGTTTCGATGGGTCTTTGCTGATTTTAGTCATAAATTGTAACTCATAACAATACAGAAACAGGTCCACAACAAGTGGTGCACAGTTAGTCCCCATTGGTGTTTTGTGCAGCTTCGGAAGTCAGTACATAGTTGGAACTTTCATTGTATTTGGTTTTGCTTGTAAAGAAGTAGCTAAAAAATTTATGTTTGTTACAAATGTCATTTTCCGAAAATGGAGTCAATTGGAATGTTGGTGAATTCGTGATTTCCTTTGGCAGAACCTCAATGTAAAATTTACGTCAACAATAATGATATTATTAGCAACCTTATCAGCCGGGACAAATACAAATTCCTTGCCGAGTTCTTTTAACTTATGTTTGATAGGAGAAATGGTGTTATTATGGTTGTTGCTAGGAGGAAAAAATTCTTTAAAATGTTGTATACGTATATCAACTATGTTCATTACTGAATTAAAAAAAGAATCTAAGGATTTCTTGTCAGCTTTTGCTCGTTTTATCCATTTCGAGCAGTAAGTACGGAGTGAGTCGTGGATGATGTTACGACACTTATTCCAATTAATAACTGATGGGGGACGATATTTAGGTCCTTTACTGAGGAATGATTTCAACTCTCGGTCACGAACGATATTAAGGTCTCCTGTTATGACATGGGAACTGGGGCCATAAATGTATTCGGAATTAATGCAATTTCATGACGTAGGTGTATTGTCACTGATAATCTTTACACACTTCCCTATAATTATGCACATATTTCCGGGTAGATTGTTTGTAAACATAACAAATAAGAGGGAGTTCAGTATTATCAAAATAGCTAGGAATTTGTTCTTTAACACAATGATCATTAAAAATACCGGCAATATTTACAAAATCAAAACCGTTATTGACATATTTGATTTTAATCAAATGTTTTTTATGATCTTCAGGGCGATCAATTTTTGGAAACAGTTTAGAATAACAATATGCAATTTGGACGATTTCATACTTAAGGACTGCAATATGGAATTGTGTTGCAATCCTCTAAAATTTGATGTAATTTATTAACAGGTAAACAGAGCTTGGTTTACAGATAATGCCTGTTGTTGTTTTTTGTCCCCCGCGAAATGCGTTGTGGGGGACATGGAAATACCGAGTGTCTGTCCGTCCGTCCGTCTGGTCTTGTAAGCGCTCTCACGGGTACAATTCTTGCCAGATTTTTATAAAACTTATACTATAGGTTAATATTAGCAATATCTCGAACAAGTACAAAAATGGTGGACGATCAACTTTTTTTAAAAGAGTTATACCCCTTAGAAATATTAAATTTATGAAAAATGGCCTCGTTAGCGCTCTCACAGGTTCAATTCTTGCCAGATTTTTATAAAACTTATACTATAGGTTAATATCAGCAATATCTCGGACAAGTTCTAAAATGGTGGACAATCGTCTTTTTTTAAAAGAGTCATGCCCCTTGGAAATATTAAATTTATGGAAAATAGCCTCTTTAGTGCTCTCACATGTACAATTCTTGCCAGATTTTTTATAAAACTTATACTATATGTTAATATCAGTAATATCTCGGACAGGTTTTATAATGGTGGACAATCAACTTTTTTTAAAAGAGTAATGCCGCTTGGAAATATTAAATATTATAAGTGCAACTCAGGGGACATTGGAACTCTGTTCTTTTATTGTAATAGTTCTTATTAGACAGAAACCTATTTTGTGTCAAATATTTAATCAATTCATATTTAGAGCTTTATCATGCTTGAATGTTGAGTCCATGCTTGCCAACTTTGTACAACTGTAGTAATATCAAGCTGCGCCTTGCTGAGTAGTTTATTTTATTTTATTTTGATATAACCAGAACCACACATTAATTTTTATTTAGCCTAATAGGTCAACTATATTTGGTGTATTGATATCCGTTTCTCAGAAGGTATAAAACCACTAATTCATAGCCCCATTGCTTTCTATGCTAAATTTTACAATTTCAAGCATTAATGGCTATTTTGTCTTAAGTTTAAATAAAGTGGCAGTTATTTCATGTCAAAACTATACTTTATCCTGACTTGTGCTGAAAAATTCAGTTACCTATGATTGCAAATTAGAGCGTACTTGTCCCCGGAAGTTTGATAGTACAAAAACAGGTACTTCTGATCTGATCAACAGGGCAAATGTGCCCTCCTATTAAAATTTCATATACTTCTTTGTTATTCAAAAAAACTTTCAACAAGGGTTCTACAGTGATCCCAAGTCCCCAAGCATTCATTTGATACCAAAACTACCCAAATATTTCACCTATTGACAAAGATACAGCTATGCGTAGGAACTTTTTTTTTTAAATATGTACTACTTTCGTGTATGTTCTTTTCGACCAGGCCTGAATAAGTAGTTCTATACCAGAAACTCCATGTATCTGAATACGATCAACTTTATCTGGTGTATGAAATTATGGTAAGGTTTACATGGTTGTCCCACCTTGAAGTCTTTGTCACGAATCATTGATGATGTTAAGTTTATATGATACCAGTAGTAAGACTGTTATCTTTAAGACTTTCAACTTACAATTCAATCATGACCAAATTAAGCAGAACAAATATGATGTTGCTCCCATCAATAAATGCATTATGCACTTATCATCATCTGAGGCATTCAGAGTAACAAGTTAGTAAATTCAAAGTTGTATGAATACATGATGAGTTTTAATACTTTATTGTTTTTAAAATTATCTTTGGCAATGATTTACTCCTTCATGTTTCAGTGCTAATTAGTAAGGTGTTGGACGAATGGCAGAAGAATGCTGATAACTTTGTTGAAACTAGAGCTGCGAAATGTGTGTTGAAAGGTGTTCAGGAAAACAGTTGTCTCACTATTACAGCTAGTTCTGGTGTTGGAAAGACATCCACTTTACATCATGTGGCATTAAAAATGAAAGAAGAAGGGTATGATATACTACCGGTTACTAATCCAAATGACATTGTCCAATTCTATAATCCAAATCAGAAAACACTGTTTGTAATTGATGACTTTTGTGGGACTTATTCCATAAACCAGTCTGACCTTAACAATTGGGAACCAGTTATGGAACAAATAAAGGTGTTGATTGAAAACAAACTCACAAAAATCATTGTCGCTTGTAGATTACAAGTGTTCAAGGATGAAAAGTTTGAATCTTTATCAATGTTCAGGAAATCTGTTTTTAATATGCTGTCGGAGAATTTGAGCTTATTACACACCGAGAAAATGTCAATAGCAGAATTATACCTGAAGACAAAATCATCAGAGATTATTCAGTACTGTGATTTATATGATTGCTTTCCACTTCTCTGTAAATTGTATAGTGATAAACCTGAGCTCAATATAACAGAATTCTTCAAGAATCCATTTTCGGTGTACGAAACCGAAATTGACAAGCTTTATAAAAAAGGACATAATACAAAATACTGTGCCATGGCTCTGTGTGTGGTGTTTAACAACAATTTGAAAGAAGAATGGTTGACAGAAGAGAAAGACGAAGAAACGAGAAAGATCATTGAGAAAACATGTGAGGCATGCAGACTGGACAGAAGAACATCGCGACTTGTCCTACTTGATGAACTAAATTCACTTGAGCATACTTTTATTAAGAAAGAACAAGGTGTATTCAAAACAAAACATGATAAATTATTTGACTTTCTTGCATACTATTTTGGACAAAAAATGATCCAGTGTTTGATCAAGAATGCACACCCTCATGTTATTATGCAGAGATTTTTACTAGAGAGAGAAGATGACATGGATCAGTTTATTACTATTGTACCAACTAAATACCATCATATGTATATACAGAGAATGATTGATGACTGGTCAATTGGTAGAGTAGATTACGTATTTATGAATATCAACTCGAATATACAAAAGTTCAGACACAAATTACTATGTTATTTGAAAACAATTAAAATGTCACTCCAGAGACGATTAGCGCTGAAATTTGATATTTATACTAAAAATACTGCGCTGATACATTGTTGTTACTATAGGGATATTCCTTTTATTTATTGGTGTATTAACCATGATGTTTGTGTTAACCTGTGTAACTGTATAGGTATGAGCCCTTTATATGTAGCAGCATCCGAAGGTTCTCCAGAGATAGTAAAGTTATTACTGGATAACAAGGCAGACATTAATAAGTGTATGGATAATGGAACATCTTCTTTGTATATTGCTTGTGAGAATAATCATATAGAGATAGTGAAGGTATTACTGCATAACAAGGCAGACATTAATAAGTGTAAAGATAATGAAATATCTCCATTGGAGGTTGCTTGTCATAATAATTATATAGAGATAGTAAAAGAACTTCTGCTGAACAAGGCAGACATTAATAAGTGTTTGGACGATGGTGTATCTCCTTTGTTTCTTGCTTGTCAGAATAATCATATAGAGACAGTAAAAGTATTACTGGACAACAAGGCAGATATTAATAAGTGTATGGATGCTGGAGCATCTCCTTTGTATATTGCTTGTCAGAATAATCATATAGAGACAGTAAATGTATTACTGGACAACAATGCAGATGTTAATAAGTGTATGGATGATGGAGTATCTCCCTTGTATATTGCTTGTCATAACAATCATATAGAGATAGTAAAGGTATTACTGGACAAAGAGGCAGATATTGATAAGTGTAATGATAATGGAGTATCTCCTTTGTATGTTGCTTGTCATAAAAATCATATTGAGATAGTAAAGGTATTACTTGACAACAATGTAGACATTGATAAGTGTAAAGATAATGGAGTATCTCCTTTGTATGTTGCTTGTCATAAAAATCATATTGAGATAGTAAAGGAATTACTGGACAACAAGGCAGACATTAACATGTGTGAAGATAATGGAGTATCTCCTATGTTTATTTCTTGTCAGAATAATCATATAGAGATAGTAAAGGTATTACTGGACAACAAGGCAGACATTAATAAGTGTGAAGTTAATGGAGTATCTCCTTTGTATGTTGCTTGTCATAAAAATCATATTGAGATAGTAAAGGAATTACTGGACAACAAGGCAGACATTAACATGTGTGAAGATAATGGAGTATCTCCTATGTTTATTTCTTGTCAGAATAATCATATAGAGATAGTAAAGGTATTACTGAATTACAAGGTAGACATTAATAAGTGTACGAATAATAGAGCAACTCCTTTGTACATTGCTTGTCAGAATAATCATATAGATACAGTAAAAGTATTACTGGACAAAAAGGCAGACATTAATAAGTGTAAAGATAATGGAGTATCTCCTTTGTATGTTGCTTGTCATAAAAATCATATTGAGATAGTAAAGGTATTACTTGACAACAATGTAGACATTGATAAGTGTAAAGATAATAGAGTATCTCCTTTGTATGTTGCTTGTCATAAAAATCATATTGAGATAGTAAAGGTATTACTGCACAACAAGGCAGACATTAATAAGTGTATGGATGATGGAGAATCTCCTTTGTATATTGCTTGTCATAATAATCATATGGAGACAGTAAAGGAATTACTGGACAACAAGGCAGACATTAACATGTGTGAAGATAATGGAGTATCTCCTTTGTTTATTTCTTGTCAGAATAATCATATAGAGATAGTAAAGGTATTACTGGACAACAAGGCAGACATTAATAAGTGTGAAGTTAATGGAGCATCTCCTTTGTATCTTGCTTGTCACAATAATCATATAGAGATAGTAAAGTTATTACTAGACAACAATGCAGACATTAATAAGTGTAAAGATAATGGAGCATCTCCTTTGAATATTGCTTGTCAAAATAATCGTATAGAGATAGTAAAGGTATTACTAGATAACAAGGCACACATTAATAAGTGTATGGATAATGGAGCATCTCCTTTGTATGTTGCTTGTCAGTATAATCATATAGAGACAGTAAAGGTATTACTGATTAACAAGGCAGACATTAATAAGTGTAAAGATAATGGAGCATCTCCTTTGTATATTGCTTGTCAGAATAATCATATAGAGACAGTAAAATTAGTACTTGACAACAAGGCAGACATTACTAAGTGTAAAGATAATGGATCATCTCCTTTGTATATTGCTTGTCAGAATAATCATATAGAGATAGTAAAGGTATTACTAGATAACAAGGCAGACATTAATAAGTGTAAAGATAATGGAGCATCTCCTTTGTATCTTGCTTGTCACAGTAATCATATAGAGATAGTAAAGGTATTACTGGATAACAAAGCAGACATTAATAAGTGTAAGGTTAATGGAGCATCTCCTTTGTATCTTGCTTGTCATAATAATCATATAGAGATAGTAAAGGTATTACTGGATAACAAAGCAGACATTAATAAGTGTATGAATAATGGAGCATCTCCTTTGAATATCGCATGTTGGAATAATTATATAGAGCTAGTAAAGTTATTATTGGACAACAAGGCAGACATTAATAAGTGTATAAATAATGGAGCATCTCCTTTGTATATTGCTTGTCAGTATAATCATATAGAGACAGTAAAGGTATTACTAGATAACAAGGCAGACATTAATCAGTGTAGAGATAATGGAGCATCTCCTTTGTATATTGCTTGTCATAATAAACATATAGCGATAGTAAAGGTATTACTGGATACCAAGGCAGACATTAATAAGTGTGAAGTCAATGGAGCATCTCCTTTGTAACTTGCTTGTCAGAAAAATCTTATAGAAACAGAAAAGATATTACTGGACAAAAAGTCTGACATTGATAAGTGTTAAGTTAATGGAGTGTCTCCTTTGTATATTGCTTGTCAGAATAATCATATAGAGATAGTCAAACTATTATTTGACAACCATGCAGACATTTATAGGTGTACGGATAATCATGATAATGGAACATCTCCTTTGTACTTTAGTTGTTATTATAACCATATAGAGATAGCAAAGGTATTACTGGACAACAATGCAGACATTGATAAGTGTGATGCATATGGAACGAACCCTTTTATATTTCTTTTCGCAATAATCATACAGATATCGTAAGAATGCTGTTGGAGAAGGGATTATATTATAATAAATGTAACAATATTGGGATCTCATCAGTACAAATTACCAGTGAAAATGGACACAATGTCATACTTGCTGTCATTAATGAACATTACGGAGTAGAGGTTATATATATCAAAGAAACTTAAGAGAATATCATCCATAAATAGTGAACAATGTAGGTAAAAACTTTTGCAATGACAGATTTTAGAAAGGAAATTGTGTTTAAGGATATAGATGTAGATAACAATGTTTACAATGAAAGATTTCAGAAAGAAATGATTAACAAATGGTTTCTTCATATGAAATATTTACTTTAATTTTTAATTTTTTTTATCCCATCAGTTATATAAAAATTTGAATCAATGTATTTGATTTTTTGGGGTTATTTAAAAAAAACTTTGTTACAGTGAACACATGCAAACTATAGTTTGTAATTTGAGAATACATTCTATGATCAGAGTAATGTTGGTACTTGTTTATGTAGGGCGCAATTTACATTAAGTATATTATTTAGGATACAAAATAGTGTTGAAAATCATATATAGTTTTTTATATGGACCCTTACCAGGTGAGATATGAATGCTATGGACTGAATTATAAAAACAGTGCTGAGGGAGATAACTCTAATTATTTGAGTGATTATGCACTTGACAAAGGATGCATAAATACATTTTCTCCAATATACAGCCTTGTCAGTATAATTTGTGATGTAGCTCTTTTCCGTCTTTTTAAACCAGTAAAATCGGAACCTTTACATGAGGAAAAGAGGAAATTCCTTCCTGTTTACTTTACCAATACAGGAGTTGATGCAATCAACATAAGCAACGTTCTACATCACAATGAGGTAACATCTAAAATTCCTATTTATTTTCACAATCAGTCTGTTCCTATTGTATCCTACAGTTACACCAAAACCATTGGACCCAAAATATTTAACTATAAACAAGCATTACAGGACCTTGATTTAGAACAATACCTAAAAAACCCTCTGACATGTGACTGTTCCCACACTTGGACACTTTGTCAGAATGGGTCAAAACAATCAGGTCTCTGATAAAACATCGCATTCATAAGTTGAAAAACTGTGTGAATGATCGACCAAAATCCGTTTTCAGAGACAAAGAGGCTGTGAAATGTCCATTATCTCTTCATGATAAGTATGTTCCTGTTCCTGCGGACAAAGCTTCAAATAAAATTGTATTTGTATGTAATTTGACAAGGATGAGATTTTGGCGAATCATAAGTCCTTCATGGTTTCAATTAACATTGCATTGAACAACAAATCGGAGGACTTACCTTGTTTGTATTGGATACCTAAACTTCACCAAATTCCGCACAAACAACGGTACATTGCCGGCTCATCTGCATGTTCCACTAAAGAATTGTCCATTAGATTGACTAAAATTCTGTCCGCAGTGAAAGAGGGTCTTCAGAAATACCGTGAAACTGTTTACTCGCGTAGTGGTATTAACCATATGTGGATTCTTAAAAACTCTTAAGAACTTCTGGATAATTTTAAATCTCGGTCTTTTTCTGAAATAAGTTCTATCAAAACTTTTGATTTTTCAACCTTGTATGCCACCATTCCCCATGTGAAATTGAAAAACCGTCTAAAAGAAATAATCTACAATGCTTTTCAACATAAAAATGGTAGCATACGCTATAAATTTATTACTTTGGGATACCATAAGGCATATTTTGTTAATAGTGAACAAAAGGTTAAAACATGCTACACAGAGGAACAAGTGATCAGTATGCTGGAGTTTCTTATTGACAACATATTTGTTGAATTTGGAGGAAGACTTTTTCAACAAATTGTCGGCATTCCTATGGGAACGAACTGTGCGCCTCTCCTTGCCGACCTCTTCTTATTTTCATATGAATCGGAGTTCCTTCAGACACTTGTCAAAAACAAGAAGATGAAAGAAGCCAGGTTATTTAATTTCACTTTCAGATATATTGATGATGTTCTTTCCATTAACAATCCGAACTTTTCTGATTGGGTTCCATTAATATCCACCAGAAATAGAAATTAAAGAAACACTAGACACGGCTTCCTCCGCCTCATTTTTAGACTTGTACCTCGAATTTGACATACACAGTCATCTCAGTACCAGAATCTATGACAAACGAGACGATTTTAATTTTGAAATATCAATTTCCCCCACCTTGGTAGCAATATACCAACTTCACCTGCATATGGGATATACATTTCCCAACTTATTCGGTATTCAAGAGCTTGCAGCTCCTACTCAGACTTTGTAAAACGTCACCAGTGTATGAACAGAAAGTTGATGAACCAGGGGTATGTCAAAGAACGTCTCGTTCTTTTTCTAAAAAAGTTCATCGGATTGTACCAAGACCTTGTTAATAAATAATCAGTATCAACTTCACAAATAATAAACGATGGTCTTGAAGTAAGGATTCTGCCTACTGACGTTGTTTATCATCTTAATAACGTGTTATAGTATTCTTTTATTTGTCTTTATTAATATTACTTTTACTGTTAAGTCTGTTTTTTTTAGATATCCATAAGTTATTTTATTTATTAATATTACTTTTACTGTTAAGTCTGTTTTTTTGTGATATACATTTAAAGTGACTTTGTACTTATGTATCCCGTCATACTTTGAACGACAAAAATATTTTATTTATTAATATTACTTTTACTGTTAAGTCTGTTTTTTGTGATATCCATTTGACGTGACTCTGTACTTATGTATCCCGTCATACTTTGAACGACAAAATTATTTTAGTTATTAATATTACTTTTACTGTTAAGTCTGTTTTTTGTGATATCCATTTGACGTGACTCTGTACTTATGTATCCCGTCATACTTTGAACGACAAAATTATGTTATGTCTACCTGTGTGAATTTCAAACGCGCGATTTTACGCCAGTACTTAAAACCTTCCATCCTTTATGGGTGGATTTTACATAGATAAGATATTTGTTGGCCTTTTTCACCTTCTTTGACAAGTTAAACAAAGTTTTAAGTAAGATATAATCCTCTAACAGTTCATTCTGTAACAGTCCAATATTTTACAGAATGGAATGTAAGAGGCTTATATCCTTTACAGACATTGGTGACGTTTTATAAAGTCTGAGTAGCATCTGCAAGCTCTTAAAATAATGACCTCAATTTTGTCACTTGCTTGTTTAAATACTGCATTGAAATTCTGCACGGTGGACATATGTCAGGATCATTAATACTTGTACTTTTTTCAACATTGCTCGTGAAATCTTCTCCAAAGTACATCTTAAAATAATTACAATGTAAACTTGATTTCCTATCTTAACGTCACTAGGATATATGAGATGCAAACACTCACTGAAGTATGGGTTGTTGAGTGATAAGCCATCACCAATATATATAAGAGCATAATCTGGATGTGATCAACCCCCCCCCCCCCCCCCCCCCCCCCCCCAGTTTTTGGTGGGGTTCGTGTTGCTTAGTCTATAGTTTTCTATGTTGTGTTTTGTGTACTTTTGTTTGTCTGTTGGTCTTTTTCTTTTTTAGCCATAGCGTGACAAGAAATTTGTTTCTATGGTTCCCACTTTTTGTAGAAAAAGTACTGTTTATTGAGTAGTTAAATTATATCTTCATGAAGCATGGAGTAGTATAGAGCGTAAAAAATATTTGGATATTACTACAAAATTATGTTTATGTAATTGTACAGTTGTTTGGATCATACATTTTTTAGTCCTATGCATCAATGATAATGTATCAGATTGGTCCATCGCTCGGAATGGTAAGAAATTCAATTAAATCGACTTTTTAGCTCACCTTGTTTGAAGGGCCATGCAAGCTTTTACCATCACTATGCGTCCGTCGTCCGCCCGTCCGTCATATGACGTCTGTAAACTTTTCTTTAAATATCTTGACTAAAACTGCTAAATGGATTGAAGTAAAAGTTTGTCAGCTTCATCTGTGGGATGTCAACTATAATTTTTCTCCAGGTTGATCAACCAAAGTTAAACATATGAGTCAAACTACAGTTTTGCTTATGTCTCTCAAACTTTACCAATAAGAGAAAACTGACAGGGTAAAAATGATCAGCACAAGTTCTATTTACTCTGAAAATGTCCTAATGAT